CCAAAGTGTATCATATTCAAAATCTGAAAGCAATATATGAATAATAGTGTGTGTGTCGAAAGTAAACAAACTTTGCCGGTGTCTGATAGCGTGTTATAAACTTGATTTAACAAAACAAAACTTTAAAATTGTCAAACTGGAAGGTTGGTAATTCTAAAGGCATATCATAGTCTGCATAGCTGAACATTTATATTTTACAGTGAAGTCAACAAATGACAATAGATCCCGCAATGAATAAGAGCGCCATGATTGTTACTGATAATATATCGGTTATTTTCTATACTAGTACATCGTATTTCACTCTTTGTGGCGGAATTGTGAAATAACTGGTAGTGAAAAATCACATACTAGGAAGTAACCGCCTATTCACAAATTCATAGTGATAGTTGTACTGCCAGATACTGAGGAGAATATGATACATGTGAAGATGTCTAAACATTATCAAATGTATTTGTTCTTTTCGCTGATTACGTTTTATTTTGATAGTCCATTTATTCTAAGACACATATTTTTTACCTAAATAATAGTTTACAATTGTTGAACGAAATGCCACATGAAACACTTAAAGTGTGATTGTGCCTTTCGTTTCTTGACAAAGAAAAATGATCAATTTGGGGTTATCATTTGAATCCTATTAAAAGAAATAATCACAACTACTGAAGTCTTCGTTTGTGACGCTTTGGACACTTTTTTCCGAAAAAAGGAAGAGATCCTTTGAGGTCACCAAGCCGAAGCTTATTATCAAAGTTGACAATGATATAGGTAAATGACATGCACATACAATGTAGAAGATGGACAGAACCATTAGAATTGCTTAAGAAATTAAATGCTAAAGCTTTTTGCTAATTGAATTAGTCAAAAATGTTGGACGATTGCTGGAGTAAGAGGATCATCTCTACGAGAGATTCTTTACCGCTCAAGTCTATATGTGGATGAATTTTTGCACACAAAAGAAGTTGCACAGACGCTTCCAAAAGACGTTCAACGTGTGACATACTCATTTATTCTTAACGAAATGTTGTGATCCGATTCCATGCATTTAAAATGATTGTGGAGAACATATACAGTTATACGTAAGAACCAGTATCTTGGGCGCCTCCTAACATTTTTTGCCTGCATGCGAGTGTGCCAGGACTGGAAACAATACTCATTGAACGGCTGAGTTTGAGTCAGGCATGTACGACTATTTAAAGATCGAACTTGCGCAGACAGAATCTTAAAACCCATTTGAAAATAAGACGCGTACAATATCACTTGAAGGGACGGACGATGAGTACTTTTTCCACGCCTTCACTTGCATAAGATGATAGTCAACGTTTTACAGGTTTTTATCCTGATATAAACGAAATCTAACTTGATGCAGAAGATCTTAAAGATAAAAATGCATGCTTATAAAGCATAATTGACGATCAGCTTAAATCCTGTGCAGTATCGAACGATTTATTTTGCGCAGCAAAATTTATAAAATAAATCAAACAATATCTTCGTTTTTATTTATCATAGACTCTATTGCTACTTTAACAAGTGTACCGAGATCTCGCGATAATTGTGACTTGACAGTTTTTGGTGACCTCCTTTCACTTTTCAATGCTGTTGAAATCAGTAAACATGAGCTCATTACTAATACTGAGTATCTTTATAGAACTGGGATTGTTCACAATATTTGTGAATGAAAATTGATGAACTAAATATGAAAATCGTCAACCCAATTATTTATCAGTGTAACAGTAGACTTTCATTGGATGATTTACGTAACTTCATTGTTAGTGTCTCTCTTCTCACTAAAACTCTGAATAGTGGAGATAAATTATGTGTTCAGTTACGGGTAAAAGCATCAATCAATGATATATGGTCAATAATATATGGTCGATGGTTAAATTAACAGGAGATCTACTGTAGCGCATATCAGTTTTGAAATACTTATCATCTGAAATACAGTCAAAAGAGTTGTTCGATTCAGTTGAATTGTGTGTCGGAAAAATATCGAGCAAGAGATCTTCATAACTTATCTAAAATCAACTACTCAGTTTTTCGAGTCCATTGCATTTCATAATCTACAACAACAGCATATGCAGTTGTTTCAACACTGCTAAAACCTACCTCTATGCGGATGACCAAAAAGTGATTGATCAAACTAACGAATCTGACTTTGGAAATTTTTTCGCACACAATCCAGCATGAATTAAATATCGACTGAGCCAAATGCCGCCCTAAGGTCCAGGAACACAACTATTGTAGGACGCCTAAATGTGTCTGTGTTCCAGGACCTGTCTTAGTGTGAAGATGTGGTCTATACAATCACGTCCAGGTTGAAAAGCAGCTTGGTTTTCTAGAGTCTGCTGTTCACAAGCTTTCGTTAGGCGTCGAATTTTTACTGAGGCCAATATTTTCGATACTATATTAGACTGATTACCCTGTGATTGTCACAAGAAGACTTTTGTCCTTTCTTATAAATTGGGACAATCAGTGATTGAGATCAATCAGATGGGATTACGTATAGTTCCCAGATTCTACCTAAGGTCTCAGTCAACGTAACTACTAAAACCGGAGCACCATCCTTAAATATCTCAGGAGTCAGTCTTTCAGGACCTGCAGCTCGCCCAAAATTCATCTCACTCTCAGCAGGAATATACTGCCCAAACTCACATCTGTAACTGATCTTAGCATGCAATATTCGCACAGCCTTAACTTCTCCGAACATATCTCCAATATAGTTTACCGAATGAGAAGAATGCTTGGTTTTATCTTTTGTAAATTCCTTTGACAGCGAATATAGAATAATTCTCTACATGTGTGAGGACTATTGCTGAATACTGCTTCCATATTTTCTAGCTTACGCCTGTTTTATATAATGAAGCTTGAGAGAATACAAAGGAATTTTACTCGGAAAGTCCTAAACCATAGCTCACTGATTGCCTTTCCAACTCGATGTAATGAACTTGGGCTTGATCCATTATGGAAAACGGAGCTTAAGTCCAATCTACTCCTTCAGTTTAAACTCACCAACTCTTCTTGTAGATAAGGCCTTATCCAAGGTCCGTGTATACTTTACCTTTGAGATAAAGTATCTACGGTCAAACTCGGGAGTATAGATCCAAAACATGAGAAGCCTTCTTCCTCGCTAAGTATTCACTGATATGGGATAGAGTTCCCTCGAAAATAAGCATGGCAAGTGGGTTACATGAGTTTGTTCAACTTATTAATGATGCTCACAGTTGCTCTGACTCTCCTGCACTCGTGAACTCACTCGTAACCTGCATCCATATTATTAGCTCTGCATACACTTAAAATATAATGAACTCAGTGCTGCGTCTTATCTGGGTATTTTTACCTTACTACGTAGCATTAAATTTTTCTGGTTGGATATAGTTTTTGCTTGAAATACACAGGTTACTCTACTCACTGGGCTGATCGACACTGTTCAACGGTAAACTGGTCGATAAGAAAGCACTCTACTTTTCTGGGCGCAAACTCATTAACACTTTTTGTTTTTCACATTGTCTTTTATCACTTGTACTGTTCTCACTTGCATGCTTTTGACTTGCCTTGATACCTTAGTGTTATGTACTGCGCCAGTTTAACCCGTGATATATATTATTGACAAACTGTCTAACTGAATCAATATATGGCTGTGACTATTTATTCTTGACAGATACAAGATACTAATGGAAAGGGATCAAAGAGGCTTCAAACGTCAACTGTTATGCAACTAACAATGAAATCATACACTCATCCGTATAACTCGGTTCAAGCACCCTATAATCTCAGGAGTGTACACACTTCACAGAACAGATTGCCAATTTTTTTGCACGACTGTAAGAATATCATCAGATTCAATAGAATGATAAAGTCAAACTATTTCATCGTTCACCAACCCGCAGGATTTTTGAAAGGTCGGTAAGAACGGTAATGAAACTACCGGAAGGACGCTGACCCTTTTTCTTCTTATAAGCTGACCGAAGGAGTCGAATGTACTCCTATCAAAGAATATAAAAGGCTTCACGGAACGTTTTTTGACGTCACCGAGGTCTGTTATGTATGCCATATTTGAACAAATAAACGTCCTACTAGAGGTTATTAGATGTTGCTAATATATATATCATAACAGGTTGTCTCATAGGGGTGAAGTTCGGTGATAGAAACGGACATTCGTGATGGAAAACGAATCTTCATAATATTTTATATTTTGAACAGAGAAAAAGAGTCAACATCAGAATATCAGTAAATTATTGATTGCTAGTTAAAAAACCAAGATTCTACGAAAACTTAGTTTTCCCGCACGTTTACATCTGGGTGCTCAACTTTGAAATACATCTAAGATGTTTATTAAGCTTAAACTGAGTCATTTATTTAACAGCCCTTACAGTATACAGTCAAGTTGTATTTATCAACAGAGTAACTTGAACATTACAGACAATCAATGCAAAGCTATAACTTAACTCCGATTTCTTGCACTGTCAAAATAAATCAAAAATGGTCCGAGAATTTATTTCTCTTTTTACATGATTTATTCGCAAGTTAGAATAACAGTCGAATACCCTGCATTGTATTTATTGATATGTGATAAGAAAACAAACATATCTGCTAAACAGACACTTTACACATATTGTATCACTGAGCATCTTTATATCTCTGAATATAATATCCGATGTAACTAGATGAGACACACACGAAGTTGAAAAAAAGTATTAATTTCACTTGTTATCCACATTGCAACTGACTACGCTGTTAGCAAACTTATCATTTCTATCATGTAATGCAGGAACTTTGAGAAACTGCAAGACGTTGAAGTATACGAAGATATTTATGCCGTCACAAAAGATTTCAAAACTGCTGCATACATTCATCTATGGTGGTTAGTTCTCATTTAAACTTTCAATGAAATACACATCGTGAATCGATGATAAGAAAGCAAATTTAATTGAATTATTTATTTAAATGAAGAATCCAACAGTTATATGATTAGTCAGTCAATAAATTTTTTATGAAACTTATAACATCCAGTTTCTAATTATTCAACGTTTTCACTGATCTATAGGATGTGAAAAAAATAACGATACCATTATTATTATTAATGTTCCATTTCCATATTGACTTATTATCATCTTGATTTAAAAGATTTCGATTTATCTATAGTACAAGTCAAAATGTCCCTTTTCTTCTTTAGGAAATTTGATGGAGTCGACTGTAAACTCTGATTTACTACCACGCGATGTGATTAATGAATATATTTATTTTAATGAATCTCGATATAATTGAGTGAGATTCATGCGCATTATGATTACATTTGAAATGATGATTTTTGTCAATCCACTGACTTATTAGATCGCCGATACAAAGAAGTCCTTTTGTTTGATGTCTGTCTGTATAAGTAGAACAACTTTTTTTGATGACGAAGAAAATGCGTTGAACTCCGTGAAAGAGTAGGTGTATAGCTAAATTACGAATACGTTGTGCTTCCTACGTTTTTATAAAAACTATTTTCATCGATTCGGAACATGACAGTGTACAATCGAAAATTGTCAGTTAGTTTATTGAATCTGCAACTTCATAGCAGCTGTCATTGAAATTGAGCTGGTGTTGTCGTTATTGTTGCCAGCTTTTTTCTGATGTTAAACCTCTTTATGAAAATTGACAGACAGGTTCACGTGAACAACGATCAATGAAGCACAAAAATCTCAAAATAACCAATAACTACATCATAACCTACATGTAATAACAGATTTAAAATTATCACTTGACTTACTGCATCAAACTACACAGGTGTTTCATTATGCATTAATTCCTCAATATTATTACCAGATCTGTCGGTGTGACGAACATGTTTCGAATGAACCTGTACAAAAGTATAAAAATTCAACTGATAATTGTTTGAAATCATGTACATCAACATGTTCGAACTCTAACCCATTCAACTGACAGAATGTGAATATGCTTCAGGCTTACAACACGCAAGAGATCCATGCAATTACCAATTGCAGTTCAAAGAATGTTACAAAACAATTAAATTAATAAAGCAAAACTGCCAATTTTGTGGAAAATGAAATAAAAATTATCATTTATTAAAAATAACCTTGTAATTTGCCAAATCTGAATACTGCTTTGTATATTCTGTTGCATCATTCTATATTAGTAAACACGAAAATATATATACTGAAAATTGCAAATACACAAAATAACTGAATGAAAAATGTAATAAATAGGACAAGATAAGAAATTATCTCGATCGCTCATATCACATCTATCAACACAATCACAAAGAAAATGAAAATTGACAAAAAATTTTGATCAGTTACAATCTTACACAGAAACATTTTGAACATATATTTTCTGGCGGCGGAAGTTCTTCAATCTGTGTATGTTAAAAAGTGAAAACAGAGAGTTGTATAATAATTTATTGACATGCGAAATTAATTCGGAATAAATAGCATTTGCGTGTCTAAAAATAACGAAGAAATAAGACCCATTTATTTGTTGGCTTAGCTGTTCATTTGACAATGCAATATGATGATATCAAATGATCATTTCAGACATAAATTATCTGGTCAAAGGCTTGGTGTGATAATTCAGCAGTAATGGATAGTGTTACGAATGTTACAAATATCGTGATGCACGAACTCACTTCATCAATGCGTTCTAAATCCTAAAAAACAAATCATGTTTTAAAAATTGCCAATAAATATGATTGATCAGATGCGTCACGTTATGTACGTTTGAATAGCATACAAAATAAAAATATGAACAATCGCAAAAATGTATATTTCAAGTCGCAGATAAATCAGAAATCGAAGATTTATTATTAAGTTACTTACACATTCACATCTTAAACAAAGTTCTTTTGAAAATGAGTAGTTGCGATAAACATCTCTGAGAGTAAAATGTCTAGATTGTAGAATTCCTTCATTAGAGATATTGAAATTATTTCCTTTGTAAAAATTCACCTGAAAACATGTTTAAAAGTGAAGAAAACATGGATTGCTAGAGACACCGATGGAAAGAGTTTTCTTTATATTATCCTTTCAATTGAAACAAAATAACGAGAACATGAAATATGTTTTTAACAATGGATAAAAAATTTCACATTCTGATCATGGGAAACAAAGTTGATGCCGATAAAAAGAACCAGATACACAGTATTTATCATGGTACATTAGAAAGCGTTAATTTCTTTCATATTTATCATGAAGTGAATAATATTAAAGTAGATAAAAAATAAATTTGAATAAAATTTAAAAACAGAGGAACGAAGAAATATCTGGTACAATGCGGAAATTCGGAGGTCTCACGCTAACATAATTCACAAATTACCATATATCTTGACAATTTCGGAAACAGTTGATCATATTCGGCTTTGTTGTCCTGTCAACGTAGAACGAAACATGACAACATAATGTTTGAAATGATTTCCATAAAACAATTGTGTCATGGTTATTATCACGGGACAAAATAAGCACATAATGGCACGAAAATTAATCTGATCTTCACAGTGTTCGTTGACATGAAAATGTAGAATGTCTGACTCGATAATCGATATGAATATCATAGGTTTATTCAAAATTCACTTTCAGTTTTACACCATGTTTTTTGTTTATTTTAAGTCTGCGCATACAATTTTAATAATACTGTATGGATTGTAACAACAGCGGTAGCCAAAATTACAAGCAAGAACTGTAGAAAATGTAATCTTACACAGAAACATTTTGGACAAATTTCAGTTGGCGGTGGCAATCTTTTAATCTGTATGAGTTAAATATATGGAAAAAGAGACTTTGATATGTATTTCTGTTTCGCTCGAAAATGCATCGCATTTCGATCAATCAAAATTATAAAGCAAAGAAGAATTATTAGCCTTTTATTTGTCAGTGAATTCTCATATTTTCAAATTAATATATCATTCATGAATAATATGTTGAATCGTATATAGTGATGTTTCGCAAGTAATAAACATCGGAAGGAATGAATAAATGAGTTTCGAAATGAATGTTCCTTAATATAAGAACTCACTTTGTCAATATGTTCTAATTCCTACAATCAAAATATAAGTCAATTATTGCATAATTGAATAGCATGCTATAAATGTAGATAAAATAATAAGGCACATTAGTCAGTTTAGTTTCAGTAGAATATAATTTAGAAAATTATCATAGCTAATACTTACACAATGACATTTCAAACAAATATCATCACCGAATTTCACGAGGCTGTACAAAAGATCTGACTGAATAGAATAACTTTTAGATTGTTTTCCGGTGGATTTGTCAACTGATATCATGGAAGAAATAATTACCTACAAAATATGAATAATAATAGGTAGAAGAAAAAAAGAACTGAAAATGTACAATTAACAAATGTACCGCGAGAAAAACAGAAATTTGACAATGTTCAACATTTGAAGATATGTCAAACATAAAATCAATTGTTATTTCTACATATAATCTATTATATAAGGTAGATGAAAACCAGGGTAACAAAAGCAAAATTGACATAATTAACAAACCATATGTATGCAACATATGTATGCACAAATGAATGAAATTTAGTGGCTCCTATTCACCGACAACAATTTCAATATTCAGATTATGTAAAATATGCGAGACGATTACGAATAAAACCAGCATAAGTAAATAAATTTAAGCGATCATATATTTACACTATGATGAATCAGTTTCATTGATCCGAAAAAAATCTGTCTAGCGACTGTTTAGTACGACTGCTTACATTCAACTGAGATTTAAATGCACCGCAGATATTTCCACACATTCTGTAAATATCTAAGATGATTAAAAATATAACTAGCTAGGCGGGGGTTATTTGAGCCGTTATACATAAACATTGTGCAAATAGAATTTCCTTTATGTGAATGGAGATTATGCATAATGGTTGTTGTGTACATTTGGATTACATTCACCTGAGATTCAAATTCATCGCAGACATATCCACATATTGGATGAAATGAAGGATTCAGCGATATGATGAATAAATCAATCATGCACAGTATGTTAACATGTAGCTGTCAGAAATATATGGGTCAATAAATTATTTCATAAAGAAACAGCAAGCAATATTCATTGGTAACCTTGTATCTCCACAATTCTGGAAACAGTTTATCATATTCGGCTTTGTTGTCCTATGAACGTAGAACGAAACAGGTCAACATGATATTTGGAAATGATTCCCATAAAACAATTGTGTCATAGTTATTATCATTGGACGATATAAGCATATATTGGCACGAAAATTCCTCTGATCTTTACAGCGTCCATCGACAAAAAAACGCATAATGTCTGACTCGGTAATCGACATGAATATCAATAAACTTATTCAAAATTCAATTTCAGTTTTACATCAAATTATCCGACGCATTCTACTCATTTTCTCCACAAACGTTGGTCAGTATATACTTATGATCACGATTGAACATTTGAATTATATTCGTTAAAATAGTCAAATATGAATATATCATGTTTGTTGTTTTAACTCATGCTTGCAGATTCATTTCCATTATACTCAATTGATTCTAACAACAGCGTTAGAGAAAAATAAGTCAGAAACTAGCTAAATCGAAATCTTACACAGAAACATTTTGGACAAACTTCAGATGGCGGTGGCAATCTTTTAATCTGTTGACATGATGAAATGAAACGAAGTAATGGAAATCAATTTTATATATTTCAGTAATTTAGAAATAAAATGTGTTTACGTTTTGGATAATAACAAACAAACTATGCTCATTTATTTGTGAGCTTCACTGTTCATTTTGAAATGTGATGTAATAATATCAAATGAATAACTAATACTCGAATACTTTGGTGAAACACAAAATGTGACACTGCGAATATGATGGTCATCAAAATAAAATGATGAATCATTTGAGAAATGAAAGTTTCTGATATACAAACTCACTTCTTCAATGCGATCCAAATCCTACAATCAAATAATATCAGGCAAATTTTCATTGAAAATGATTGACCAGATGTGTCATTTGATTTATATTTGAATCGCATGCCATAAATATAGTTAGATAGGTTCAAATTTTGTTATTGTAATTTTGATATATTATGTATGAGAATAAAATCTTAACTGACACTTACACAATAACACTTTAAACATATTGCGTTGCTCATCTGCACTAAGCGGTCCCTGCGTCCATATCTGACTGAAAGCGAACGTTCGTGTTTGCCAGTAGATTCGTCAAATATTTCTTTCCATTCGAAGGTAACCTGTAATTGAATATTTCAAGTAGAAGAATGAGCAAAAAAGCTAAGACAAATTAACAGATATACGATAAAAATGATCCAATGAATTTGCGCAAAACTAAAAGATATTTAGAGGCTTCTATTCACTGACAAAAATTTCAAAATTCGGATTGTGTAATTTATACGAGTTCAATACGAATATAACTAACCAGGTGAGAGTTATTTGGGCTGTTTTACGTAAACATTGTGCATATTGAATTTCCATCATGTGAATGGAGAATATGCATAGTGGTTGTTGAGAACATCTGGTTGACATTCACCTGTGATTCAAATTCATCGCAGACATATCAACATTTTGGATGAAATCAAGGATACAGCGATATGATGAATAAAGTAATCATGCACAGTATGTTAACATGTAGCTGTCAAAAATATATGGGATAATGAACTATTACATAAAGAAATAGCAAACAATATTCATTGGTAACCTTGTATCTCCACAATTCAGGAATCAGTTTATCATATTCGTCTTTGTTGTCCTATCAACGTAGAACGAAACATGTCAACATGATATTTGAAATGATTTCCATAAAACAATTGTGTCATGGTTATTATCAGTGGACGAAATAAGCACATAATGGCACGAAAGTTAATCTGAACTGCACAGTGTTCGTTAACATGAAAATGTATAATGTCTGATTCGGTAATCGATATGAATATCAACAAATTTATTCAAAAATCACTTTCTGATTTACACCATGCTTTTTGTTTAACTAATGTCTGCGCATACAATTTGATTACTAATTGATTGATTGTAACAACTGCGGAAGGCGAAATAATAGTCAAGTTATGTGCGAAATTGAAAACTAACACAGAAACATTTTGAACAAATTTCAGTTGGCGGTGGCAATCTTTCAATCTGTTGACATAATATAATGAAACGAAATAGAGGATCCAGTTTAATGCATTTGACTAATTTAGAAATAAAATGTGTTCACTTTTTGGAAAATAACAAACAAACTATGCTCATTTATTTGTGAGCTTCACTGTTCATTCTGAAATGTTATGTCATAATATTAAACGAATAACTCATACACGAATAATTTGGTGAAACGCAAAATGTGACACTACGGATATGACGGTCATCAGATTGAAATGATGATTATTTTGGGAAATCAAAGTTCTTGATAAACGAACTCACTTCTTCAATGCGTTCCAAATCCTACAATCAAATAATATCAGGCAAATTATCAAAGAACATGATTGACCACATGTGTCAATTGATGTATATTTGAATGTTTTGCAATTAATGGAGCTAGAAATATGCATCAGTTCTCAATGTCATTTTGATATATTATATTTTGAAATTTAATCTTTGCTGAAACTTACACAATCACATTTAAGACATATTCCATTGCCCATTTTCACTATTTGGTACCTCATTTCCAAACTGACGTATGGAGAATTTTGTTTTTTGCCGGTAGTTTGGTCAGTTATTTCTTTCCATTGAATGTTCACCTGTGATGAAATATTACCATTGGATGAATAAATGAAATTTGAAGATGTATGTATCCTAAAATCAAATCAATTTTCCCACAAAGGAAAGGAATTTATTGTCTTCCATTCGCTGAATAAAATTTCAACATTCACATTTTGTAAAATATGCAGAAAAAGTCGTATATTTCTATCCTAATTACCCTTATTAAGCCATTATATAGTAACATACTGGACAGTGATTTTCGTTC